GAAGACCAAGCTGGCCTTGATTTCAGAGATCTGCCTGCCTCATCCCTCCAGAGTGTTGGGATTAAAGGCCAGCTAGGAGCTGCTTTTAAAATTTTTTTTTTGTCTTTTTTGAGACAGGGTCTCCCTGTAGCCCCAGCTTTCCTGGAACTCACTATGTAGACCAGGCCGGCCTTGAACTCACAGAGATCTGCCTGCCTCTGCCTCCCCAGTGCTGGGACTAAAGGCATGTGCCACCATGCCCGGCTTTGCTTTTTAAATTTTTAAAAATTTATTTTATGTGTATGAGTGTATTGCAAGCGTGTATATAACCACACCGTGTTGTGCAGTGCCCATGGAGGTCAGAAGTGAGTGTCAGATCCCCTGGAACTGGAGTTAGGATGGCTGTTATCTGTCATGTGGGTGCTGGGAATCAAACCCCAATCCTGCAAGAGCAGCTAGTGCTCTTAACTGCTGAGCCATCTCTCCAGCTCCTAGGAACTGTTTTTGACAAAAAGAGTGCTGTGATTTGTGGAAACACAAATCTTCCTTTACATTAAGAGCTTTGCTGTGATTGGTGCAAACACTCCTGTGCCATATCAGCAGGCTTCCTTGATGACTGGGCTGGGAGACCCTGTTCTGTGCTGTCCTAGTCCCAGTAACCATTTGAATTGCCTTTTCAAGCCTTGTGTGGTGAGTGGATTTGGCTAAGAGGCTTATGTATCACTCAGGCACTTACCTTTTCTGGTGGGAGCATTCTGATCCTCTATAGTTGTTACTTTATAAGGTTCAAGTTACCATTAACGGTAGTTATCCTACTGTAGTGTAATCATTGTGTCATTCCTCCCATCCCACTGTGTTCCTGTAACCTGTTATTTGGTAAAGGAGGCAGCTCATTTACCTCATTTACTTCATTTATTTATATAGGGGAAAACCTCTATATAATTGTCCCTTCAAATTCCCTTCTTTTTGTCCTTTTGAACAAGTGCTCATTGCCTTTGAGCTAAACATGCCCTAAATGTGTGCATAATTTTTCCTTCTCGAAGTATGAATTTAACTGAACATCTCAGAAATAAACTCCTTAACTGAGACTGCTCATGATTTTCCTGTACCTAAAGTGTTTTCATATGTGAAAATTTATTTTATTTTTTAATTAAAATTTTTTGTTTTTGTTTTTTTGAGACAGGGTCTCCCTGTAGCCACAGCTGGCCTGGAACTCACTATGTAGACCAGGCTGGCCTTGAGTTCACAGAGATCTGCTTGCCTCTGCCTCCTGAGTGCTGGGACTAAAGGTGTGCATCACCATGCCTAGTCATATGTGAAAATTTAAATTTAAATATTTAAGGATTTCAAATGTTTGGACCAATGCTTTGTTTTTCCATGATTCTGTGGAGGGACTGCTGTGTAGACTGGCTTATTCTATCACTTTGCTGACCTCACTTTTCCTGGACTTCCTGCAATATTTTATTGATTAAGCATCTTTCCTTATGATTTTACCACAATTTTTCTTTATTTTATTTTTTACATTTTTCAGAATCTTATTATTGTGTCTGTGTGAATGCAGACATGGGTAGTGTAAGGAAATGCAGAATGAAAAAAGAGAGAAAGAAACTGGCCTTGACAGAACAAGCAGGTTTTTTAGGGAACAAGCCTGAGAGGGCACCTTCCTGTGGCCTGGGGACCAGAAGAGATGGGCAGCCCCTTGTGGCCTAGGATCTGGAGGAGGAGAAACCTCTCTCACAGACTCAGGGTGTTCATATTTTTTTCCCTTCCAGGAGAAGGAAGAGGCTCATGGTCCAGGTTGTGTCTTATCAGGGGGGTAGTTGGACTGTAGGTTGTGCCATGTCAGGGAATGCACCTGGGGAGTCAGTTGGGACCATATGGGACACTGAATTCTGGGAAGGAGGCCAGAGGGCAGCAGTCATGCAGGTCACTGGTCTCCAGGTGCTCCTACATTCAAGGTCTAACAGTTCTCCTTCAGTTCTGACTCTAAATGGATATAAATGGGAGTGGAGATATTGTCATCATGTCTTATCACTTACTTCTGGGCTTGTGGGGCGGGGGGAGGTTCTTAGTCATACATATCCCTTAAAAGGAAGATGGTCTTTACATGATCCTGCGTGGAACCTTGACAGACTGTTGTGATCCAGTTAAGAATTTCTGGAATAGACTGAAAAAGCATGGCAAAAGGGTGAGTAGCAGGGCAGTCAATCAGAGGGGTGAGAGGAGCGAGGAGCCAAGGGGCAGTGGAGAGAAAATCCCTTGTAGGATGTCCCCTCCTAAGGAGGATGTTTGTTCTTTAAATTTTCTTCTCCCACCTGACCTGTTGGGGAAAGGCAGCAATCCCCTCTTAAAAAGAGGCACAAGCCTCCACCTTCCATGGTCAGAAGATCTAAGCCCTGTTTTTGTTTTAAAGTACCAATGGGTCAGAGAATGGATTTGGTCTTGAATGGCAGTGCACTGCAGTGCCAGGTCCTCTAGGGAGTTTCTGAGGGCTCTGGACAGTTGCTAAAATTTGTTGTTCCTGTTTTTAGGACCTAAAAGAAGTGTCTGAGAAGGCCATGGTTAGACACTGAAGGGGGACTGAGGAATTGTGTGGGAGGGACTGTTCCCATCCTTTGGTGGGCTCATAGAAGAAGAGCTGTGTGCTGGTTATATTAGGGAGATGGTTTGAAGAAGGACAGGGTGGTTTTTGCTGAAAGCAGAGGTAGGCATTATGCCAAATAGTGGGAGTGAAAACAAGAGAGGAGCATTTGTGGCAGAGGGCGAGGTCATGTCAGTGGAGTTGGGGGAGGTGAGACAAAAAAGTAGGGTGTGCCTGACCAGGCAGGCTGGGGGCTAGTAGTGAGCCAGGTGACAGATCCTGGGTCTGTAAAAATGGATTTTTGATGGTGAGCGGGGGAATTTGAACACCGAGTGAGCAGGGAAGCTGAGATGTTAATGAGAGGGAACATAGGGGAGGGGTTTTGGAAGTCCTCCAGGAGAGTGATGAATAGAGCAAGTAAAGTGAGACTGTAGATCATTTCCCCCAAGGTGTGAGGAGGGTGCCCCAGAGCACAAAGACAAGACAGAGGGAGAAGGAAATCTGAGTGGGAGTGAAGTTTTGAAAGGTTCTCTGGAACCAGAGTTCTTTCACTAATGAAAAGAGGTCATTAGTGGAAAGAAGGGGCCTTGGGGAGAGGGGTACCAGATCTATAGGGAATGAAGAGGGTCACCCCTAATCAATGTAGGAGGCCACATCCCAGAAAGGGAGAGGTGGGGAGAGGGAAAAACTAAAAAAGAAACTAAAAAGGAGTGGACTACAGTTATAGAATTAAAAGTGCAGAAAATTGTGGGAGTTTGTTTGGGGGTTACTATGGTGCCTCTGACTCCCTTCATGACAGTCAAGGTCTGGAGAAGAGGGTCAGCAAATTCAGTTAAGAGAGATAGACTAGCCCTAGTGTAAACCATAAAGGAAACAGGATGGCCAGACAGTCCCAATACTTCTGGGTTTCAGGGATTTGTCTTTCTGGGTTGTTAGAGTTCAGATCTGCAGCAACCCTCTCCCCAATGTAGGAGGACCTCATGGTTTTACAAGCCCTCTGAAAATACAGGAGCTGAGTTAATGAGCACCCTGACCATCTGCAGACAATATAAACAGACCCCTTATCCCACGACCCAGATCCTGGCTGAAGGAAGGGGGCAGTTTGACAGAGGCTATTCTCTCCTGATAAGCCCTGGGTTCTCTCTCTCCTGCCTAACTTTTAAAAATATCTTCCTGCCTTCTGCATCCCCCCAAACCCCCTATAAAACCCCCCAGCCAACAGCCTGTAAACACACTGTCCTGTGTGTTTTCCCTACCAATAAACTCTATTCCTCTGGGGTTCTTGTCTGTGTCCTGGTGCTTTCTCCCAATTTTGCCTTGAATTATCTATCATGGGTGGGGGCTGAGGGACCTCAGCCTCTACCTTCTGGTAGGCATAAGGAAAAAGCCTCTTGTGGGAGCACAAAGAACTGAATTGCAGGGGGTTGGGGGTGGGGTGTGTCTTCTCCCAGGAGGGCAGTCCTATTTCGAATATTCTCATTGACCACAAGAGGCTTGGTGGGAGGCTGAGGGTGAGGGCATGTTTTTGCATATTACTCATCCCCACTGCAATGGAAAGAGGAATCAGGTGGGGTTTGGGATCTTGTTAGGTTAGTTTTGTCTCAGCTCATCTGAGGTTGCATAGCAGAGCAGTCTAACAGTCACTATTCAAGTTGGAAGTGCCCCTTTTTCCTTCTCTACCTCTTTTCTTGGTTTCAAAAGACCTTGAAGGCCATGTTTAGGAGCTCTTGGTATGAGGTCTGGCAGGTGGGGTTCAAGTTTTTAGAGATTTTTTTTCAGATGTTGGGGCTGACTGACTAATCAACTGAATGTGGAGGAGCAGCAATTGTCCCTCCAGGGTATTGGGATCCAGACTAGTAAATTTAGTAACAACCGTTCAGGTGGGGCACTCTTACAACTTACCTGTGATTGGGGGTAGGAGAGCAGCCTTGATTAGCAAAGTTTCAGATCACTGAAGTTATGGAGAATAACAATAACTTGTAGACTACTAACAAAAGCCAGGCAAACAGTTACTGAGATATGGTGGGTGACTAAGTCTTCAGGGAACTGTTCTTTTGTGTTCAGGGCTGAGAGCACCGAATTTACAGCACAAGAACAAAGGATAACATAATATAATTGTAGCAGCTAGGAGAGAGAAAATATGAGTTTTGAAATATTTGAAAAGATCTAATGAAGCAGCCATACTTTCCCAGATTTGTTCACCACCAGCAATTGGTACTTGGGCTGTTGCTACTGTAAATACTTGGTTTTATAATTTTAAAATATCCATTGAAGCATGATGGAAAGGATCAATGCCTAAGAAGTGATTTTTAACCTTTTGTAAATCATGTTCAGATTCATTATATGGAACATGTTTTACACAGAATTGAGTAACATTAAAATGAGATTATAATGTATGTGACTACCTCAAATCCTGTACTTGTTCCCTATCCACAAAACAGACTCTTTTTCCCCCCAAAACTGGTGAAATGTGTTTTTCACATTGCTTCAAGCAATCAAAACAAAACAGAGTCTTTTAATTGCTGACTCTTTCCCCAAATTTCTGTTTGAGTGGTTTAATGTGAAGCCATGCAGAGATGGCTGCTGTAGCTATGGTACTGGTGAGCAAAACATTAACAGGTCTTTTGACCTGGAGAGATGGCTCAGTGGTAAAAGCACTGACTGCTCTTGCCGAGGACTGGGGTTTGATTCCCAGCACCCACATGGCAGTTGTGAACCATCCTTAACTCCAGTTCCAGGGAAATATGAAGCCCTCTTCTGATCTCTGCAGCACTGCATGACATGGGTGCAGTCACATACATGCAGGCAATAAACTCATACACATAAAATAAAAATAATAAAATAATAATAAAATAATAAAAAAAGAGTTTATGTTATCCCCTCCCCAGTGAGAACAATCAATACATTGTTGCAGTTTACAATTTGTACAAGTGATGTGGAATAATAATTCTGGTTTGTTGTGGGTAATGACTATATTACTGGATAAGCAAATTTTCTACATAAGAGTAATATTAGGTATTATTTTTTCCTTTATATGGAAAAACCTGCATTTCAGTTGTGAACATAACTTCTGACTAATCCTAATTTCCAGATAGAATGAGTATTGGAGATTCCACATACTAAATTTCTACTTTTACTATTCATTTGTTGTCCTGTGTCACAGAGTCAGGGGTCCAGCCTTGCTCAGGAGAGGGTTTTTGGTTTTGTTTTTTTTGGAGGACACTTTGAGATAAACATGCTTGAGTCTTACATGGGAAGGCCAATACCATCTCCAGAGCCAGCTTCTCAGTGAGCTCAAACAGCATATGCTTGTATATATTAGGAGTCTATCAAGGGAATGAGGGAGAACAGCCCTAACAAAATGAGGGATGAGAGCAGAGAAGAAGGAAAGCTTGGGCATAGGGAACCTCAGACCATCTGCTGTTCCTTTGTATGAAATTTTATTCCCAAGGGTGTATCTCTAGAGACCTTGCAGGTTTGTGAGCCCATGCTGCAGAACAAGGGTGCTGGGGCAACAGGATAGAGGCTAGGACTTGAGTCAGAGCCTCATCTGAGACAAAAATTCATCCAAAGAGGCCAGAGGGCAGAATCTCAGGCCATCCATTGGGCTTGGGGTATCTCTCTGGTATATCTGGAGTATGAAATGTACAGAATATCTATCCTAGGAGTGCCACCTAGGTGGACAGGGGGAACTTTCCCTGCACTTGGGTCAAGGATGGCCCATGTTGGTGGAATGGATTGGCATGGTAGTGATGGCCCTTGCTCTGAAGATTGGAGTGATAGAAAGTCACAGGGGCAAGTTATGGGGGCAAGATCAACAATAGGGAAAATGGAGCAGGGGATTTTGACAGCAGGTTTCCTGGACCAGTAAATCAGGACCTCAGTACAAGGCCCTACTTTGCCTATGGAGCAATAAGGCAGCAAGTCAAAGCTCTGAGTTGTTTACTGGCCACTGTTTAGCCAAAGTGAGCATGAGGCACAGTCCAAATCCTGGATGCCAGAAGTGGAAATGGTGGGGGAGGGAGGGAGGGAGGGAGGGAGAGAGAGATCAGTCAGGGGAGCCTGGGCCTGCACAATCTGTAGGGAAATATGAGATGAAAAAAGAGAAGAAGAAATTGACCTCAACAGAACAAGCAGGCTTATTAGCAAACAAATCTGAGAGGGCACCCTGCCCCCAGAAGCCAGGGGGCTAGAGGAGATGGCCAGTCATGAATTCTGAGACTTATCCTCTCTCACAGACTCAGAGTTTTTGTATTTTTCTCCCTTTGGGGAGTGGGAAGAAGTTTGTGGTCGAGGTTGTGTCATATCAGGGGGTAGTTGAGGGTAGATTGTGCCATACTGGAGAATGCATTTGGGGAGTGAGTTGCAACCATGCAGGACACTGGTCTCCAGCTGCTCCCACATTCAGGGGCTAGCATTCCTCCTTTATGTAGACTGTGGCACATGTGTAGAGTCAGAAAACAATTTTTGGAAACCAGTTCTCTCCTTCCTCTGTGGGATCTAGGGACTGAATTTGGGTTGTCTGACTTGTGCTATAGATGTTTTCACCCACTGATCCATCTCAAATACCCTACTATACTTTTCCTTGCCTCAAAGCTGGGAATTGAATGCAGGGGCTTGTGTTTGCTCAGCAAATGCTCTACTACTTATGGACGTCTGCAGCCCTATACCTTGATGATAATTTTTTTGAGGTGGATTTTGAAATTGTGGAGTATAAATCTTACTGCTTAGCTCTTTTCCAGGTTTGTTCTTGTATTCTAATGCCCTTGCAAGTCCATATGGTTTTCTACAGCAGTTTTAGAAGGTTATTCACTGGGATTCCATAGGTATGATCTTGAGTGTGTAGAATGTTTAAGAGCCATCTTATTGATTGTGAACATAGTGACATGAGCATGGGATGATTTTCCTGTTACTTAAAAATTCAAGTTCTTGGGCCAGCAAGATGAAACAGTAGGTGGGGCACTTGTTGCCATGCCTGGTGGACAAGGGTTCAGGAACTCAAATGATGGAAGGTGAGAAACAGCCCTTATATGTCCTGTGATTTCTTGTCCTTTAACTTCCATGCATGCACCTTGGTGCATGGGCGGGTGCATGCGTGAGCATGCATGCACACATGCACACACACACAGACATGCACACAGATAAGACAGAAGAAATAAATGTAAAAGCACTCAGGTTCCTTTAGCCAGGTTTGTAGTTTTCAAACTTCAAATTTATACTTCCTTGGTTGAATTTAATCTCATGTATCTATATTTTCGTTGCTTATTTAAATGGATTTCTTTTCCTAATCTAATTTTCAGCTATTTTATTGAATGTATATAGAAGTGTAATTAGGTTTTTGTTCCTTGACCTTGGTGAGCACACCAAACTGAGGCTTAGTTAGAGTTTTATCAGGTGTGCTGAGAGACCTGTATGTTTTCTCAGAATTGGGTCTGACATGTTCTTTTTTGTCCTGTCTAATGGAAGAGTGATGTTGCATGATACAAGGGTCCCCATGGAAACAGACATTTCCCTATGGATTGTGGCTTCAGTACAAATGGGGATCTGGTTTCAGTGGCCAGTATCTGACCAAATGAAGAGTGAGGAGTTGTAAGGAAGCTGAATTCGTGTGAGTTTTGGAAGGATAAGTGTAACAAATAGGGATTTTGTTAAGTCCATTTTAATTAAATACCTAGATAGACAGTGGCAATCCAGTCAGCTCATAATAAGAGGCAAATCTGCTGTCCTTCTTGAGAATTGAGCTGTGGTATTTATAGAACTCATGAGACTCTTGGATAAAAGGGTAAGATTAGGTAGCTGTTGCCAGGACTGGTGCAACATGCCCTTAATCCCAACACCTGAGGGGGCAGAAGCAGGAGGATTTCTGTGAGTTCAAGGCCAGCATGGTCTACATAGCCAGTTCTAGGCTTGCCAAGGCTACATATTGATAACATCTGTTTGTGGTTGTGTTTGCTATTCTAAGTCAGTAGGGGGTCAGAAAGAAAAAAATCTCTGAAAAGGGTCATTTTTACTTCTCCATTTCATGCTGGAGATACTGTTTCATTAAAAGAAAGAGCTAGCCATTGTTTAAGAGAATGTTTCCTAGAGTAATCTGAAGAAACAGGTTCTCAGAGAAGTTTGGTTTCCTCTTGCCTAAAGTGGATGCTAAGAGTCAGGCATTATTTTTTTCAGCATAGCTGTAATGTGGTATTATGTAGTAACTGCCACATGTGTCTGTCTCTGTGTGGTGAATATATATGGTGTGTGTGTGTGTGTGTTTGTGTGTGTGTGTGCTTGTATGTTGTACATTTATGTGCATGTGCAGAGGCAGGAGGAGAATGCTGAGTGAATGTCCTACTCAATCATTCTCCTCCCTTGAGACAGGGGTCTCTCACTGACCCTAGTCCTAGGCTGGCAGCCAGAAATACCCCATGATCCTGTTGTCTCCACTGCAGAGGGTTGGGGTTACTGTTACCATCGAGGTATCTTGAGTGGGTTCATTTTCTCTGCCAATTAAGTAATTAAAAGTCAGGACATAATAGGGAGCAAACTTTATTAAAAGCAAGAAAAACATGCATACACACATTCATGGCAGAAATAAAATCTTTCCCTTCAGAAACAAAATTCAAGGATCCCTGGAGGGCTTAGGCCTTTTAAGCATTTTTGGAGATATGGAGCATGTGGATGATATGGCTGATAGGCCATAGCTCCAAGCTGAGATATGTCCAGGGCTATATGACTCCAATCCCATTTCAGCAGGCTAAATGAAGGAGCTCTGTTGGAATTAAAAATAAAGGCTTCCTGCTGGGCGAGGTGGTGCATGCCTTTAATCCCAGCACTCGGGAAGCAGAGGCAGGGGGATCTCTGTGAGTTCAAGGCCAGCCTAGTCTACATACTGACTCCAGGACAGCTGGGGCTACAGAGAGACCTTGTTTCAAAAAGACAAACAAAAAAGTCTTCCTGCCAAAGTTAAGAATAAAATCTGCCAAGCTTTTGTCTATCATCCTGTCTTTTATCTTACTTCCTATTAGGGTGTTTTTATCTACTGTTCCTTCTAGTCTCATTCTACCCCTTGTAGGGGTAACCCTAAAATCATTTAGAAAATAGGCTAAATTTGGGAACAGGCAAAGATCTAGTTCCAAAGATATTCCTTTGGGGGGGCATTGAGATAGGGTCACACTATGTAGCCCTGAAACATAGAACAGGCTGGCCTTTAACTCACAGAGATCTGAGTGGTGGGGTTAAAGGTGTGTGCCCCATCTTTAGTTCCAAAGATTTTTACCAGAAGGAATTAGTGTCTTCACTGGAGTTTGGGTTTCCATTCTTATGTGTAGCATGTGGTAGGGGTATTGATTCGTGGGGAGTTAAGAAACCAGAGCTTTCTGTTTTCATTGCTGGTTAAAAAGCCAAGGACATTTTTGGAACTATTGTTTTTAGGGTCCCTGCCCTGAACTGCCTATCCAGTTTCAATCTCCTGCTCTCATCCTCTGAATATACAACCATAACTGCCAATAGGAGATTGGAATGATAACCA